GGGACACTTGCTATCTTGTACAATGTCTCCTCATATCTGAGTATCAGCAGTGCCTGAATCTAACTAAGTAAATATTTAGCATAGGGACTGTCAGCATCCCCAAGTAGATGGAAGCATGGAGTTATCTGTACCACAGAGCAATGTTCCAGCTGCTCCTTCACCCTCCCTTCCATCATACCTGCAGAACCCAGAGAGGCTCTTTTCCTTTTAGTTTTTACACCAACAAAATACCCTCTGCCCTCTCTGACTTATCAAGTCATTTCTCAAAAGGTGTCTGAAATCTGCAAGCAGGTTCAGGAACAGCCTGTGGAGGCTGAAGGAAGAGTGAATTGTCCAGGTAGAAGGTTGAGCTGATGGTATCACTAACAGGAATGCGTTGTTCATCACCACCACTTCTTCCCCTGGCAGATCCTGTGGGCTTAGAGAAATGTGCTTTGTGAATAAATAACAGGCTTTTTCAAGTTTGCCTCGTGGCTAGAAGGCTGGGTTTCTGTCTGCCAGGTTTGGTGTTACTGTGTTTCCAGAGACCTGTATATATTGCATAAACACATTTTAACTTTTTACCTCTATCATTTCCTTTTCATTTGAGCCATAAAATGAGTTCTACAGAGCACTGTAGAAAATGAGCAGATTTGTTTGGAACCACAGTGCTGCTAGGGCAACAGGAGAAGATTTCTGCAGATTACGTCATAGGTCAGAAAATAAATGGTTAGGTGCTCAGAAATCATGATAGTAGGATCCTTAAGAAAATTTCAAGGCAGCCAATCAAATAGCCAGAAGCTATGATAGTTAAAATGAAGAGATGACATTCAGAGCAGCAGTAACGCAGAGAGAGAGAAATTGATATCCAGATCCTTTGGAGGTGTGTACTAATGAGCAGATAAGTGTTGCCAATGCATTAACAGGCCAGACTTGCTCAAAGCAAAGTCAACTAGAGTAGGTTGCTCAGGGCTGTGTCTGGTCAGTTTCAGTGTCTCCAAGGATGGAGACTCTGCAACCTCTCTGAGCGTTTTCTTCAACAACCCCAACTCTTTTAACCTCACCTCATATATCAGATGCTCTAGTCCCTTAATTATCTTAGTGGTCCTTCAGTGGACCTGCTTCAGAATGTCCCACTTTTTCTTGTCCTGGGAAGCCCAGAACTGGACACAGCACTCAAGATGTGGTATTACCAGTTTCTCAGATGTCATCTCCTGCAGCCGAGAGCCTCCAACAAAGACCTTGAAAAATGGATGACCCACCTGTTCGAATTGGTCCCTGCGATCCTGCTGCCACTAGAGGAGTGCTATTGTGAGGAACTGGTTGTACTCTGCTGTGAATGGTGGGATGGATGGCATTTCCTCCCAGACCTCTGGCTACAGCTGGAGTCCTCATTGCCAGATAGTTTACAGCGAGTGCATGTGATTGATTTACTCCTTGGTTACATCAAGTATCAGAAGGGTCTATGATTTATCCCTGTCTGACAAGGGATCCTGAAGGCTGAATTCCTCTTGGCTCTACAGTATTTGCAGTGTCCCATGACCAAGCATTGGCTAGTAGCCTTGTCTTTGAGGCATGGGAGGTTTGACGACTGTACACAGAGGTGAAGGCTCAGGTCATGGCTGCACTGTTAGAAAAGGCATAGAGCTAAGTTCCCCTTGTAGGCTGACGCTGATGTTATAGAGGGAGTGGAAGATTTCATGGTGCTCTTCAAGGTCTCTTCTGTAACCTGAGAGTCCTATCTTTCAGCAAAATGCATCTGAATGTGCTAGGCTGAGTTACTGCTGTGAGTATAATTGTCGCTCAATTCACATACACAGTCAGTGCACCAAATACTGTGTAATTACTTTGCAGCACTTTGGGATAAGTCAAGTATCAAAGGGACAGGACTGTTCTGTTCTGTTTGGTTTATGACCTGTCTGTGAGTCTGCAGAGGACCACAGTGATATTAAGCAACAGGAGGCATAAAATTGCACTGCCTGCTTACCTGCTGACTAGTCAGGCTTGCATCCTGTCATTATTGCTATATCTATAAGAGCTTTCTTAAGCCACGCAGAGTACAATTATTTAGGTAATTTGAATTAACGATTTGAGATGCACCTGGTGAAAGTTAAATATGATTCCACTGTTGTTATGGGCCTTTTCCCAAGTTTAGTTATCATAATTACACTATGGGGGTGGAAGAGGACAACTGATGGAAATAAGAAGCACTTAGAGCAAATTTTTCTATGGCTGAAAATTTTTTTAGAGGCAAGATCTTTAGGTGTAGAGTATGTACTACCAGTTGAAGTTTTCATACCTGAGGCCTTTGCAAGCCTGGCTGTTGAGAGCCTGAATTTCGGCACTCAAAAATCAGCTGTAAAACATTGGGAAATTCTAGGAAGAAATATATGAAAAGGGTACTGGGGCTGACCTGGTCTTAAATTAGAACTAGAGGGAGCCTAAATGCATTCCTCTGAGCCAGATGCTATCTTACTGTGTTATTCTGGCAGCTCTGCAAGGTTACAGCTAAGTGGCAATGCTGGTACCAAAAGGTCTTGGGAAGTGACCCAGTGATGAGACTCGTGCATTGTGGTTTATTTCAGGGTAATCTAAACATGGCAGCTGTAAGGGCCAGATCCTGATCTGCAGACCCTTCTTGCTGGCCCCCACTGCATGTGTGCACACATGGACTTGTGCAAGCACCTCTGGCAGCTCAGCAGTTGCTAAGCTCTCCCTGCTGCTCTGGGAGCTCTGCTGCTGGGTGGAAGCATCAGGAATGATGTGCTGCTGTTGCCATTCGAGAATGGAAGAAATATTTGTGTGTGAGGGAGAAGGGGGAAATAGAGGAGAGACTGTGGGGAGGAATAGCTTCTTCCCTCCAGCACCCTGTCACTTGTCACGCCTGGTTCCCAGAGGTAGCATGGGCTGCATGCCTGCCTGTTGCTGTGGGCTCTGGCCATTTTCATCTTCTGCCCAGTCTGCAAGCTGCCAGAGGGACCAGGCCAGCACACCAAGAGGCCATGCTGCCCCAAATCCTACTGGTCCCATGCAGGGAGTCCTTCAGACAAATTTTGTTTGTTTGTTTCCAGTGTAGAGGGAGACAACTGGTTAAAAATATCCAGCAAGAGACTAAGAAGGGAAGTAGGGGAAAAAAAATGGGAAATGGGCTATCCACCAGAACCTGTGAACATGCCAGTTCAAATGGCTCATTGTTGGCATCCTTGGTCCTGCAGGAGATGTGTGTCAGTCAAGAGCTGCTTGCCTGTTTGATATCTCTTCCTCAGCAGGACATAGCTGTCACTCTCAAACCATTTACTTGCTTGGCATCCTGTTCTCCTTCAGAAATAGCTGTCACTCGAAAGGCAGTTTGTGTGATTGATGATGTCTATGCTTGATTAGTCATTAAGCAATGCCATCACTTCTGCTGCGGTGACCATGCTTGCAGAAGGGACTATCAACTGCTTTGTTGTCTGGTCCCTTTCTTATTCTTTATTTCTGATTTCAGTCAATGTTGCAGGGACTGTTTGGTTTTGGTGCAAATGTGAAGGTGAATAGTCAGGCTTTAAGTCAATGGCCTTGGACAGCTGTCAGTGATTTGATGCCTATGCAAAGAGCTTGTATAAATTCTGATTAAAAGGATGCTGTTGTAATGCGAGAGCATTTGGTATAGCACCTCATTACAATGACAATTTAAATAATGGCAAAAGAGGAGATTATTTTAGAGCAAAAGAAAAAAAGATGCTCCTCTGCTAACATCCAGAATAAACAAGATTATCTGTGAGCTGATGATGGATGGACATATCAGCAGAGGAGAGAAACTCGTTGGCAATGTGACAGAGTAAGGACATTGATACTGAAAGAACGAAGCTGTGAGAAAAGAGAAAGGAGGTAGGGAATCCATGAGTTGAGGGGAGAACAGTCTGTGTTTCTGCTGTAAAAGCAGCTGCCATTTGGATTTTGGAATCCTAGTAATACATTTTGTGCCTAAAAGTAATTGATTGTCATGCCAGTCTCTGCACCTCACTGAAGGGAAATGTTAGGATTAGTGTGTTCCTTGTTAAAAAGACAGGCAAGACAAAATGTGAAGAAGATTTAAGTTTCTTTCTCAAGGATCCACAGCAAATGATCGCAGAGCTGAGAGAACTGGGCATTTAACAATGGGCTGTGAACTCGTTGAGGAGTGTTTTCTCTCTACTGGGGAATTGGTGGACAGGTGAGGAAGAGAGAACAAAGTGGGTGTTTTTTTTCCTGGTTTATGATGAGTTGGAAGACCTGAAACTTGTGGAGAAAATGTGAACATTGCTAGTAGTCAGGCTAGTGGGAGAAAGGTGTAGAATACCATTTTACAGACATTATACTGCAGGATGCAGCCTGTCTGGATTGGTTGTGTTTTGCATTGAGTTTGCACAGACAAGAATTTCAGCACAGGGAAACCTTGTCTGTAAAATATGCAGATGATGGCTATGCTGGGAGAAGCTGTCTTATAAATGCGAAGAGGAACATCCCCCACCTCCCACTCTACCATGCTAGAGGATGCAGAGAGGTATGAGCCAAGAGAAGCAAATGTGATTCAGCTTTGAAAAATGCAAGCTCAGTCATCTAGGGACATATAAGCTCTAAATACAAATACTCTCTGAGACATATAGAGTCTTATGAAGCAGCATAAATCTGAAGTAGAGTGGGATGTTATACTGAGCAGTGGAGCAGTCAGGATTTTGCTGTGTGAGACAGCAGAAAACTCTCCCAAACTGAGAAAACTTCATGTGCAAAGCCTTCAGTGATGCTGCTTAGCAAGATGGTAATTTGTTTCTCTACAGCTCCATTCTTGGGAGTATGGGATTACTCTTATTGTCTGTTTCCTGTATAAAACAAAAAAGCAAGCCAACAATCTTTCTCCAGAATTGCTCAAAATCAGAAGAGTGGGTGCCGCTTCCTCCCAAAGAAGGGAATCGGTGAGAAAGCCCCAGCAGGCATTATCTGTGGCATTGTGACAGAGCTCCTTGCTGGGGGAAGTGGCAGCTTTCTTTCCACTCCCCAGCAGTGATGAGCTTTGCCCAGAGCCTGGCAGATGGGAACGGCCTCCTTGCTGCCTCAGGGCAGGTGGTGCTCTCTTTGCCTCCCAGTTTAGAGACAGAGAGCACACCACAGCATCCTTCGCTAGCTGCCCCCAGGCAAGTCCCGCAGTCAGCTTCCTGGCTGTGGATCCTTGTAAGGTCCAGCTGAGATGCCATAGTGCTCTGGGATATTTCTGCTTGCAGTTTAGCTCCTGCCAATGAACCCTGGTACAAGGGCAAGGTTACCTCCTCCACATTACTGGAATTTGGTATTCCT